GTATCTATGGTTGTATTATGAAGGGAGAATATTTTACACAACAGTGGTCAGAGGGATACAATGCACTGTCTGAGTCACCAGAGCCAAACTACCAGCACATGGAAAGCTCCGCGCAGCGTCAGGCTGAAGGCACTTTAGGGAGCCCACTGCAATGGTCCAAAGCAGCCGACATAAAGTGGTCTCCGATTAGGATCAAGGTGTTAATTCCGGGCCACACCCCAACTAGGCCCTGGGCAGGACGCTTCCTTGCGGTGACTTCCCGCTGCATGGTTAAGAGTCCTACTAGCTTTCAATTGATTCAAGCACTGGCCCAGGTCTGTGGCTGCCTGGCCTCCGGCCCTCACCCCAAACCCTGCGCACCGAGAGCGATGACCAGGGGCGGGGACTCACTCGCGACCCGCGGCTACAGGCTGCAGTGCGGCGGCAGGGGGCGCGGCGAAGCCAACCCGGCCTCCGCCCCTGCTGCATCCTGAACATGTGAGACTGAGGCTCCCAGAAAGCAGACGCAGGACCCTCCCTCTGCTGGTGGACCTTTAGTCCTGCCACCCGCCCCAGGCCGGTTCGCGACCCAGGCACGCAGCGCCGCCTCCAGCAGGGGGATTTCGGCAGCTCTCTCCCAGCACTGCGCTCCAGAACCCAAGCGCTGCCCGGTGACAACTAAGGTGGCGTTTCCAGAGTGCCGAGGCAATAGTGGACGAGGCTAGTTGGTTGTTTAGCCAACCAACTTGACGCGGCTCTTTAGCCTTCAACTACGGAAGAAGGTGTTTGGTGCTTGGGTATCAGAGACATGAATTACACACGGTTCCTCACGGAGACGAGTGCAGCGAGAAAGCCTAATGCCATCCGAGTCTACTGTGAGTGCTGGGGCAGCGCCCCTCACCCCAGGGAGGGGGGGGGTGGTCCTGCAGAGCCTCTCAGGGTGCTGCCTACAGTCACCACTTGCTGGCCATCCTTCATTCAACCGGAAACGCTCACTGTGAGCCCAGCTCTGCGTGCAAACATGAATTCTGGCTGAAAAACAAGGCGGGAAGTCGGTTCTCTCTGCTCCAGTGTAGTAGGAGCAGTAAGAGAGAGGCACAGGCTGTGGGGGACAGGTCCTAGGAAAAAGAGGGAGTGCTGTCTAAAAAAGTTGCTTCCTGGGACATGAGTAGGGGGTAGGCACGGTGCGCAGATGTGTGTGGCTTGGGCAGGGCCTGGCAAATGGGAGAGAAAGCAGGGAGCCAGGAAGCCTGACAGGCAGGGAGGGGCTAAATGGACCAGGGTCTTCTGTTACTGTGGCCCTTTGTGTATGTCCCTGATCACTGCCTTCTTAGTTGGACATCTTCATTCCTTAGCTCAGCCACCAGTGAGGTGGGTCCAGAAAAAGTTATTTTATGTTTATTTTAGATTAGCACCGTATCACTAGATATTGTTAAACTTTACAGTTTGATTGACTGTAGTGCTACATACTAAACAATCACTGTTTAGGAAAGTCTTCAGTGAACGTGTTTCTTCTGTTCCATATTTATTGTAGCTGAGATATTGAACAGGGCACCGAAATCGGTCATCTCCTTGGCTACTGGATCACCAAATCCGAACACGTTCCCTTTTAAGACTGCTGTTATCACCACAAAACATGGACAGACCATCCAATTTGACGAAGAGATTATGAAAAGAGCTCTTCAGTATTCTGAAAGCGCTGGGTAACTATAACATATTTTTGTTGGCCTATTTTATGAGCAATATTCTAAGGCCTACTCACTGATAAAGTGACTTGTGTCTTTTTTTTTTTTTAAACTGGGCACTTAACAGGACGGTTTAGGGAAGAGTTTTTAAAGAATAATTAAAAGGAACAAGGATACTGAGGGTCTGATGCTCGTCAGAGACTGCTGCTCACTCTTACATGCCCGGGAGAGACAAAAAAGGCTTCTGGAAGGAAGTACCATTTGAGCTGAGGCTGAAAAAAATGAGATGATAGCTAGGTGAAGAAGCAGGCTAGGAAAAGGGAGGAAAAAGATGATCCAGGAAGCACTAATTTTAAGTCCCAGGGCAATTTTCTAAGAATTATGTTCCCTTTCTAAACAGGCTGCCATACACATATGTTGCCCTCAGTTCAGATGTGTAATTCTTAAAGGCAAAGCTAGAACACAAACCTGAAGATTTTCCTTAGCCAATCATCTTCCAGTAGTAAAGGATAATTTATACAGTGTCTATAAATTATACTTTATTAAAGACTTCTTTGTTCTGTGATTGAAAAGCATATTGAAATTTAATACATGCTGTGCATATATGAATTATATGTAACATATACATAGGATTTTGTTTCCATGACACAAAGTACTTTTTGAGCCTGGACTTCTTGGTAGCCTATGGAAATATTCCTAAAGAGAACAAAGAATTGGTTATGCAGTGAGTGCTCTATTGTAAAATAAAGAGTGTAGGCTTTGCACTGAAAAGATGTAGATCCAAGTCTCAAATCATTTAATTACTGGCTGATTGACTTTATGTGAAGTTCTTAATCTCTAAGTCTATTGCCTTGTCGTTTACATCAGGATATTAATACTGGTAAAAAGTGTTTGAGCATTTTAACATTGACTGCATAGAGTACCTGGTATAAGGCTAGCATTTAATTCCTCTCTTACTATGATTTTTGCTACTGTTTGAAAATACATTTTATGCTTTAGAATCCCAGAGCTGTTGTCCTGGCTAAAACAGTTACAAGTAAAATTGCATAATCCTCCCACCATCCATTATCCATCCAGCCAAGGACAAATGGACATATGTGTCACAGCTGGCGGCCAAGATGGTCTTTGTAAGGTAAGACTGAAAGGAAAGGGTACCCCACATGAAAAATCAAATACGTTCATAAATACAGGCATCTCTCACTGACAAACAAGAGGATCATGTTTTGTGAGTTACTGATAGTCTTTCTTGTCTTTTCCTAGCATTATAAACAGGGAACTTGAAGACAGTCACCAACCTGGTTTTTCTTAAACGTAGGTCATGTGGACAATGACCTAGAGCTATGAGTCATTCAAACAAGATTCCCACTGAGGGACTACTCAACTCCTACCAGCAGCTTAGCGAGCACCGCTTAATTTCATCTGGCTCAAAGATTCTAATTACATTTGGATTTACGTTATTTTTGTTATGAAATTTCAATATAACTTTTAAATTCTTTAGAGGGCACATCCCGATACTCCTCAGATAAAATGTGATTCCTTTGTGTGTCTGCTTGTGTAACCATCTGTGGTCCCTACTGCTTGTATCTTGTCTCCCTCTTGGCCGTATTTCTCTACATCTATGTATATGTCTGTGCCTCTGACTTTCCTCCGGGTTGTCACTCTCTCTTTCTCAGTTATTC